GCTGATTTTAGTTGCTTGTTTAGGATCTGTTTCCAGCCCTGGATCGTGAGCGCCTGTTGCTGCCCTATGCCAAGACCTAGAACGGCCTAGGCTTGTAAAAGGTACTCAATAAATGGTTGAATGAGTGAATGGGTCTCCCCCTCAGGGGCTCCCATCATACTTGTATTAAATGCACACAACCCTCACCGGGGCCCTCAGGGCCCTGCTCCATCTGCCCCTGAGACTTACCTCAGTGCTCCCTTTCCCTTCTTCCCTTGCTCACTGCACCCAGCTGGGTGGTACTGAACTTGTCAAACTCCTTCCCATTTTGCAGCCTTTGCCCTTGCACTTCCATCCCAGGCCCTGTCCCCAGGTCCCTGCAGGGCTGTCTGTCCGTATTCCTCCTGTGTATCCATGCCACCGCTTAGAATAGCCTTTCCTGGCTGTTTTATTTCTAGTTAAGGTGCCCCTGGCCTCCACCTGCCTATTTTCTGGTAATTCTGTCATCTTTTGCTGGGTGTTCAGATCCTGTCTCTGCTCCTTAAATGTGAGATTGTGGGCAACTTTCTAGAGCTGCCTGAGCCTCAGGCTGCTGGAGGTAATGGTGGCATTGACCTCATGGGCTGTGGGAGGATTAGTAGAAGTCATGAAATACATTAAACACATTCCAGGCCAGGCACTCCACTGTTTTCCATGTGAACATTTTCTCTTTACTTATCAGAACTGCCTGGTGAAGTGGGAAGGATTATTGTACTGATGTGGAAATCAAGGCTTAGAGAAATGATGGGATGTCCGCCCCATGGTCACAGCTGGCAAGTGTCAGATTCAAGAGTCTTAATTTGGTCTCTGGGAGTCTGGCTCCAGAACAGGGGATTTTTAATCACTTTACCTCAGTGTGTGAAGCCCTCAGCTGGGGTGGCCACACGGGGAGGACCAAGGAGATTCGGCTGCTATTGCTGCAGTTCTCATTGTTGGAATTATCATCATGATCAACTCCCCTGTTCCTCTGATGTCCCAGACCAGCTGTTGTCTGTCCCCACTGTCCTCATGGGAATGCTACTGTCTTGTCATCTCCAGCGGCTTCCCAGGGGAGGTTTTTCTCTCAGCCATAACTGCATTATGTCCAAACGCTGCATCTCTCTCCCCCTCGAGCCCAGCACAGAGCTCTGCCCCCAGGAGGCCTCAGTGATGCAGGCCTGGGTCTCTCTACATCTTGACCAGAGACTGAGTTACAGGGTTCTGACCCCATCCAACAGCACAAGGCCAATATCATTACTTCTGTTTGACTTTCCAGGTTTTGGTTACCTTCAAGGATGTGGCTGTGACCTTCACCCAGGAAGAGTGGGGACAGCTGGACCTGGACCAGAGGGCCCTGTACCAGGAAGTGATGCTGGAGACTTGTGGGCTTCTGGTTTCACTGGGTAAGGGCTCACCTCTCATCCCTGTGGGGTAACCCAGCCTTCTTGATTCCTGGCTGATCAAGAAGGTCACAGGAGTCATCTTCCCTCTTCCCTGAAGACCCTGCAGTTTTCTGGTTCCTTCTCTTCCTACCTGGCCTCCCTCCATCAGGTCTCCGTCAGGGATCATTGGAATAGAAACAACCTACTTCTGAACACAAACCCTCACCCCAATACCCAGCACACTCAGGTTGCCGTCTGACCTCCATATTCCAGACTGCACAGGAGCCTGGTTGGGTCAGGCGTCCAGGGCCCAGTTAGCAGGGCTGTGAGTGATGGGCTGTTCTCAGGAGAGAGGGTGAGTCAGGCAGATCCCCATATGGCATTTGTCATCAGTGCCCCCCGTGGGATCTTCCTAAACAACATAGTAGCTATAAAAAGACCCCTGGTGTCTCCATGATCATCACCTGTTCTTCTGAGGCCTGGGTCACAGTCCTCCACTGAGGTAGGAGATGCTTTAGAAAGTGCACAGGAATGGCTAAAATGCCAGAGGTGGACACCTTGAGAAAGCCAGTCCTTTAACCTCCTCGGTCTGGAAGGCTGATTGGTGTCAAGAGAAAGTCTCAGAACAGTGCTGAGTATTTCATGTGCCCTAATTGTGGGTAATTTTTCTCTTCAACAGAATGGACAGCTTCTAGCTCACAGTCCTGAACTATCTACATGAACTTGCTAGGGCTCTGATGGCATTACTTTGATTTTGTTGTGTTTTGATGGTAACCTGCCATTTGTGGAGAGTGAACTTGACTTTGCTCATTTACCAGAGCAAAACAGAGTTCCCTTTTAGAACAAAATACTTAACAAAAATTAAAAGTGGGGCCGGTTAAAGAGAAGCCACCAGTGACAATGGCACCGTGTGTGTGAGAATGCAGACCATTCACTCTGAGTTCAGGTGGGAAGGCAGACGTCAATTCTTAGATGAATTGTGATGAGTCATACATAGAAATATTAGGGGACCTTAGGAGTATGTAGCCAGGTGGTCATAATCCATCATGGGTGCTTCAAAAAAGGCATCTCAGGAAGTGACATTGGAACTGAGCCTTGAAGCTTGGAGGGGAGGTGGAGGAGGGCCTCCAGGTGGAGGAACCAGTACAAGAAGAGGCGCTAAGGTGAGAGGGGGCTCAACTGGCAGAGCCAAAGGAACGTCTGGTTCACCTTTTCTCCTGCCCCTCCCTGAGCTCCCGGCCAGGCATGTAGGACACATCGGTGACTGTTACCGAGACTTGTCTGAATGAGTCCTGGGCTGAGGATCAGAATCTGCTAGTTGATAGACTTCAGTGGGTCCTGGTGCCTCAGTCCTTGAAATTCTGTACAGAACCCACCTATCTCTGTTGAGCTCTATCTGGCTGCACGAAACAGAAAAGCAAGCTTGAAACTGGCTTCCCCTGAAGGAAATTTCCCATCTCACCTAATGAGAATCCCCAGGGTGGGGCTGGCCCCCAGGTTGAAGGTTGCAGCTACATAGTTCTATCCTCAGTGATGTGAAGGTTCTCTCTGCTCCTCTCCCTGGACCAGGCATCGTCCTGTTCCTCAGGCTGGCTCCCTTGTGGGCCTGTGGGGTGCTGCAGCCAGGGTTGAGAAAGCAGCCCCCTTGTTCAACCTCCCCTCACATTGGAATAAAGGCTTTGTCTTCAGCTCAGGTTACCTGCCTCTCTCAGATTACCAGTGATCAGAGATGCCATTCACCAACTTCCTCCCCTGGCAGTTTTTAGTTCTCTCTGGGAGAGAGAATTCCCTAGGGAGAGCCCAGAAATACTGTTGGCTAGGCCTCACCCCAAGCAATTTTGTTTCTTTTGGTTTGAGGTTGGAATCAAGCATCCCTAGTGGTTCTGAAGTACAGGGTGTTTGAGAACAGTGACTTAGATTAATTACAGAATCCCTTCTGGAAGGAGGGGCTCCCTTTCCCAGGGTTCCATGGCTGTGTGTGAAAGTGGTGTGCCCCTGAGTAGGATTGGCTTCTACCAATGAGGTTCAAGGACATTGATGTTGTCTGGACAGACAGCACCACCCTCTATGGCAGTTGCAGTCCAAGAATGGGATTTGTGCAGTTGGGTTTCCAGGTCACAGGTCAGCATTTTCTTCACAGCTTCATTCAGTTCTTGTCCCTGCCATGAAGTCCCAGAAGGGATGGAGATACTGCTTTCTTCTCATACACCATGACCTATTTCTTTCTCCATCAACAGGGCATCCAGTTCCCAAACCAGAGTTGACCCACCTACTGGAGCATGGGCAGGAGCTATGGACAGGAAAGAGAGGCCTCTCACGTAGCACCTGCTCAGGTAGGAGGGGATAGCTGGTCAGGTGGGGTCATGGGAGCCTTCAGCATGCAAGCCTCTGAACTTCTTTGTGAAACTCTTAGTGACCTCTTGGTCACATTCATGGAGAACATGAATGAGATGGAGTCTCCTAGTCTCTCAGATGAGGAAATCATGCTTTGAAGAAAAAAGTAACCTGTTCAAGATCACTCACTTGGTAGAGGCAGGACTGGACCAATGGTTTTCTGGCTTCAGAGCCCTCTTAACCACGACATGATGCCTCCCAGCAGAGCAGAAGCTTGTCTTTTATACCATTTGTCCCTGAGTGTCCCTCCATCCCTCTTCTTCAGTCTTAATTCTCTTCCTTTTATGGTGATCCCACTTCAGTGTTGGCTTCACCAGGCAACTGAGGCCCTTTCTTCCTTTAATTGTTCAGCACTCTCCAAGAGTGACTCTACCCATGCTTGCTCCTTCCATTCCAACCCGGTGCTCCCTTCCTCTTTCTCTCTCTGGCAATTCTGATTCTCCATTAGGACCTAGCTCACGGGACACCTCTGGGAAGATGACCTCTTTTTCATCCCAGTCCTGTTCGGTGCCACTTCTGTGTACTCTCTTAACACCAAGAGACATCAATTCTTGAAGCAAACACCCCACAGACAGTGTTATGTCCTCCCTCCTCTCCTCTGGACTGTGAGGAGGGGTCTCCACTCCAGACCCTCAGTTCCCTGGTCCAGCCTGTCCTCTGGATTTTCCCTTTAATGGTGTCAAGGGTACAAGGACCAGAGACAGTCATTGGAAACCCAGGATACAGAGCTGTGGAACACAGCAATCCCAGGGTACTGTTTCATCCTCACTTTCCCACTGAAGTGTTGAATTTGTTTCTTCTGTATTGAGTCACTAAAAGTTCCCCTCTCTGTGTAGGCTTCTCTGCAGGTGACAGTGCAAAACTTCAGACCAGGGACCCAAGCACTTCTCAGCTGGTTTTGTCTGAGGGAGCCTTGCTCCAGGGAAGCCTGACTCAGGGATCTTCAAGGGACTCCAAGTTGGCACATGCCAGGGATTGGGAAGGGCTTTTGGAAATGCAGAAAAGTCAATTGAAGCCTGGGACACATGATCAAAAGGAGACCCATCTTGGGAGAATGAGCCTTGAAGATGACGGTTTGGGGACAGATGATAGTCTGCACTTTCAGCGACATGTTCTCTGTGAATGTGACCCACAGGGACCAGGTAAAGGCCACATGATTCATGCAGGGAATAATCTCTACAAATGCAAGCAGTGTGGGAAAGGTTTTAACCGGAAGTGGTACCTTGTTCGACATCAGCGGGTTCACACTGGAATGAAGCCCTATGAATGCAACGCATGTGGGAAGGCCTTTAGCCAGAGCTCAACCCTTATTCGGCACTACCTCATTCACACCGGGGAGAAACCATACAAGTGCATGGAGTGTGGGAAGGCCTTCAAACGCAGGTCCTACCTCATGCAGCACCATCCGATTCACACTGGAGAGAAGCCCTACGAGTGTAGTCAGTGTCGAAAGGCCTTCACCCACCGCTCTACTTTTATTCGGCATAACAGGACCCACACCGGAGAAAAACCCTTTGAGTGCAAAGAATGTGAGAAATCATTCAGCAACAGAGCACACCTGATTCAGCACTACATCATCCACACTGGAGAAAAGCCCTACGATTGCATGGAGTGTGGGAAGGCCTTCAGATGCAGCTCAGAACTCATGCAGCACCAGCGGATTCACACTGGGGAGAAGCCCTATGAGTGTGCCCAGTGTGGGAAAGCCTTTCATCGGAGCACCTACCTCATTCAGCACTCCATCATCCACACGGGGGAGACGCCATACAAGTGCCTCGAATGTGGGAAGGCCTTCAAACGCAGGTCACACCTTCTGCAGCACCAGCGGGTTCATACTTGAGAGAAGCCCTCTCAGTGCCGTGAATGTATAAAGGCCTTCACCCACTGCTCCTGCTCTTTTGTCCTTCATAAGGAGATGCACACTGGAGGAAAAAAAACAAAAAAACGCTTTCAGTGTAAAGAATTTTTGTTGGCTCTTCAAACACATGAGCAGTCACACTGGAGATGAGGCCTGTGATGCAGTGAACACGAGAAAGCCTCCAGCCACTGCTCTACCCCCACTCATCATTGGATTCATACCAGAGAGAATTTCGAGAAGGCAGGTCACCCATGGGTCCACCTCTGTCAACATCAGAAAAAGCCCCAGGGAAACACATTCTGAACGCAACTACTGAGGAGTCTTTAGCCAGAAGAAGACTCTTACTTACCATCTGAGAATTCGTAATGAACAGGAACCACATCGATGTCATTGCTGTGAGAAAACCTGTGGACAGGTCAGCACTTACTGTTATGTCAAGAGTCAGATGGAATGGGACACAGCGTGGGCCTTAATGTGCCCATGAGAAGCATGTGGGAGACAGACAATGGGTACTGTGCACTTACAAAGACCTCCGGCCACCGATCTGCTCCTTGGTTGACACTTAGAAAGCCATCTCAGCATTATTTTTAAAAGAATAAAAAGAAGGGGATGGAAACTTAGACTCTAAACTGAAAAAAAAAATGTCTTCACAAACTCTTTCAGATTTCCCTGCCAAACCTATTAGTTTTTCATCAGTTTTATTATTTTGGTGGGGGAATGTTTGAGAGAAAGGGTCTCAGCCCTTTGTTTTTATGTGTGTTCACTGCTGTCCTGTGTCAGGAAGCTTGGACAGTGAGGACAGCTCTACAGATGTTTGCTGGAAGCCTTGTTCCACATCTCTACCCACAAGGAGCATCACTCTTTGTGAGAAATATGAAGGCTGAGTCATGAGATACTTGAACTTAGAAGAAGTTAGACTTCTGAAAATAACATCACACGCACTTGCTTCTGATGTCTGAGAGGATCTGCATACAACAGCCACGTTAAAACATGCTCCCTCCAGACTGTTTAAGGCTTTGATATTTATAAGTAAAACTTGTTTGTGTGGTTTTTAAATGCCTGATGTTCTCCCTCACTTTTTTATTCCATTCTGCTCTTCTGTTTTCTGTATTTTCCCCTGATGGTATGGGTGTGGCCTTCTCAGTTGGGGCCTAATTCCTTCCTATTCTTGGGGTTTCACAGGTTAATCCCATGTAGAGGACTGCGCATTCCCAAGTCCCCCTCCACAGCTTTCTAGGGGTTGAATTACTGCTAAAACCAGTGAAATAAAACACTCTGCTGAGGCGAATTCATGATAAGCCCAGAAAAACAAACACAGAGTATTCTCATTGTCTGATCTTACAAATGGTTGTGTGAAGTTTTGTTTCAAAATAAAGTGCTAGCCCGCGGCCGTGCCTCCCGGGGCCCCGGCTGGCCAAGCACGGTGAGCCCTCCCGATGGCAGGCTGCGAGGAGGTGAGCGTGTCTGGCTTCGAGGAGTTCCGCTGGGCTGTGGAGCAGCACCATGACAAGACCATCTTCACCTGCTTCACCAGCTCTAAGGACGCTGGGGCAAAGAGCTGCTGCCCTGACTGCCTGCAGGCTGAACCGGTCGTACGAGGGGCTGAAGCATATTAGTGAAGGATGTGTGTTCATCTACTGCCAAGTGGGAGAGAAACCTTATTGGAAAGATCCAAATAATGACTTCAGAAAAAACCTGAAAGTGACGGCAGTGCCTACACTACTTAAATATGGAACACCTCAAAAACTGGGGGAATTGAGTGTCTTCAGGCCAACCTCGTGGAGATGTAGTTCTCTGAGGATTAAGATTTGATGATGGCAATTGTGTCTTGATTTCCTGATTTCCTCTAGTATAAAGGCAATTGCATACTTGCTTTGAATTCATGTTAGCAATAAATAAATGATGATGTAAAAAAAATAAATAAAGTGCCAGGGATTTGAACAGGAGATTCTGGTTGTGTACATGTGGGTGTCGGGTTTGTGTTGGCTTCACAGTTGCCACCATGGACTTACTATTCCCTGTGTGCCGGCATTGGATGTGGTCATTTTAAATTCATCCTGTGGACTTCCCTTCAAGACTAGTTTTCAAGGTACACAAGATAATGGGTTAAAAATGTACAGAAAAATATACAGTGATCATTTCCTCACATGGAGCTTTCCTCAGCGCCTTTTAAAAAGACTACACAGTTCACATTTTCATAGTGGGCATGCGCCTTTTTTGTGGTGACTGCACTTCTTGATGAGTTAATAAGAGTTTTTGTCTGGACAGTGTGCATAGTTTTCTGTTCTTCAGAATGGAGTGTTGACTCAAAGCCCCCTGCCCTCTTCTGTCCTCTCTCTGGAGGCTGGGGTGTATTGTAGTTGTGGTTGTACTTCTGGCTGAGCCTTGAGTTCAAGAGAGTTGGAGAAACCCCTCTGAAAACATCTTGGTTTTTATCAAAGGTTCTCCTTTGCATGCCTGGGATGCTGACCCCAGTTTGTCCCAAAGCAGGAGTGATGCATTTTCCACTAGATGAAGGTCATCTGAGGATTTGTTCCCTCAACTTCAAGGTTTTTCCATACAGTCTTAACATGTTCAGTGCCAGGCCCTACTATACACTTCCTGCTGTGCTCAGCAGTGTTCTGAGACCTCTGTCCTTCATCCACATGACCACTTAGTGTGTTCTGGGCACACTGTGAGGAGTGGGGCACCTGGGTGACTGAGACGGGAGTCCGGTCCTTGAGCAGGGAGGGAGCTTAATGCCTAGTGTAGGTGAGCAGAGTACACTGAAATCTAAAAAGAGAAGGAAACAGCACATGGCGTTGTTGGATTCTTAATCACCTTGAAAATTTTGTCTCCAAAATAGGATTCTTCACCATTCTTGAGTGCACTCAGGGTACTGAACCTGAAGGGAGGGTGGTAGTGAATTAGTAAAGTTAGGATAAGTAGCGGAGTGGATTCTTATAAATGTCACAAAAGGTGACATTTAGTGCTCCAAGAAATCATTTATTGTATATCTTATGTGAGTCTTGGACTCTTGGAGGTATACGAAATGCACAAAACACCAAAAGAATTTGGCCCTCATAGAACCTACATTCTGGGTGAGAAAACAGCAATGTTCCTAATTTCCATAGCATGTTAGAAGGGAATAGGTTCTGTGGAAAGGAGAAAAGCAGGACAGCGGTGCAGAAAAACAGGAGAGGGAGGAGTCCCAACATTAAGACTGTTCGCACTAGGGCTGGTATGGATGCTGTGTCTGGCATGTGTTTTAAAGAGGTGAAAGAACAATCTCTTTCTTTCTTTCTAATGCATATACATATACATTTTTTCTTGCCATACAACACTAGATAGTTTCCGTAGAGTAATGTTGAAGGCCAGGAGATCCCAATTATTTTTCTTTTGTCTCTGATCTTTGGTGAAATACTAACATCATATGTATGGCGTGTGTTGTAGAATTTTTTCAATGTTAAAGGAAAATCCATTCTATACTTTTTTTTTTTAAAGCCAAGAATGGGTGAATTAGCATCAAATTATATTTTATGCATCATGAGTTGATTATGATACCATTTTGTATGAAGTGGTAAAACATGTATTGATTTTTGAATTTTTAAATTTTTCAGCTTTAAACTTAGTAAGTACAATAGTACGAGATACTCTTGTATAAATTCTACCCAGATTAAACAATTGTTTGTTCTGCATCTTTTTTTTTTTTGCATCTTTTGTTTTATTAGTCTCTCCCCGCAAACATGTGCATATGTGGGTTTCTGAACAATCTGAATTAATGGGTAAATATATTGCCTCTGTACAAGTGAATGCTTCAGTGCATGTTTCCTAAGGGCACATCTTATATTATCAGAATATTATCATAATCAGGAAATTCAGTATTGGTAAATTACTATTATGTAATCCACAGGGCATGTTCAAATATTACCATTTGTCTTAATATTGCCCCTTGGTGTCTTTAGGGGTCCATGACCAAACCCAGACGGTATGAGGCATTTGGTTGTCATTGCTCTCCACTCCTTTAATAAAAGTTAATTAGCCTTTGAGTTCCTTGGATATGATAGATCATGAATTTTGTAGAATTTCCATCCGTTTCTCTGATGTTTCCTAATGATATTTTCCTTTTGCATTGTTTACACTGAAATCACAGAAGTGATACTGTATCTCTCATAGTACTTCATATCAGGAGGCACATGGTGTCCATGTTTACCAATACGGATAGTAACTTCAGTCACTTCTGTATGTTTGTGTTCTTAAGAATTACCATTTCCCTTTATTTTTTGTAACTTTAAGAGTTTATTTGAGCAAAAATTGATTCAAATTGGGCAGCATCTAATCTGGCAGATAGAAGGGAACTCCAAGGAGCTGTACAAAATGAAATACTTTTGGGGCACCTGGGTGGCTCAGTTGTTAAGCATCTGCCTTCGGCTCAGGTCATGATCCCAGAGGCCTGGGATCAAGCCCCGCATCGGGCTCCCGGCTCAGCGGGAATCCTGCTTCTCCCTCTCCCACTCCCCCTGCTGTGTTACCTCTCTTGCTGTCTCTCTCTCTCTGTCAAATAAATAAATAAAGTCTTAAAAAAACAAAACAAAATGAAATACTTTTGTAAGGGAGAAGGAAGTTGGGACAAAGAAGTCATCCTAGGCAAAAAGTGGGTTGGTTCAGACAAGGTCACTTTCCTTCAGGAGATGGCTGGAGTCCATCAGGCAAAGTACCTGACTAGTGCTGATCAGGAGATCCTGATGGTTTATGGTTCCATTTTTGGGAGAGCCAAACTGTAATGAAGTCTTGGTTTGGTGACATAGGGCTTAACATAAGGGACTCCATGTTGGGCCTGTTGTTTTATTTCCCTTTATTTTTAGTATGTAATTATTCAGAAGATGTTTTGAAACTGCGTGAATATACTGATCCACATCAGTATTTCACCCCATAGTTTTAGCCACCACTGATGATTTTCAAATCCCAACAGTCTTCCCACATTTATTAGTAGGCATTCTACT